AGCAGGAATTAGGGTAATGTTTCTGACAGCCTGTGAGGGTTCAGCGCCAAATACTTGAAATTTTGTTTGTTTGATCCTGCCCTCCCTTTGTCCTAATATTAAGATGCTGCTAATAATGCAAAAATCCTTATAACGTGTTTCAGTAGGGTTTTTTGGATCATCTTGGTTTTCTTACCACATCCACCTTGAAGGTACAGTTACAAGGTTCCTCTCTGACCCAGTGAACAATCCATCACTAGAAAGCACAGGTCCCAGTTCATCTTTCCTCAAAAGATGAGATGCATCTTGAATGTTCTCCAGTTCATTTCCTGGAGGAATACAATGCTAGAGTACTATACTAGCTTTTGAATGGGACTATTTTAGAAACTGAAGGAAAGGAAAATATTGGTCTTATCACTGTGCACATGTTTTCCAGCAGCCAAGCACCAGTGTAGGATGAACGGAAAACATACTGAAGAAATAATGTCAATAAGTATCAAGAGCTGTGATGCTTTTTAAAGAAGCATAAAGCCTTATTCTAACACACTTTGACAGCAGGAGAAATCTCCTTGAAGAAAATATCACTACCTGTGAGCAGGCTGAATATTCAAGTAGCACTTTGCCTTGTATGAGACTCGCAGAGAAGATTAGGATGGTCAATGTCATCTTAAATGCAGGTATGATCCTAAATCCAAACGTGCATCATAACCTCAACCCTATTAGCACATTCCTGTCTATGGATACTTTGCTCAGAATCACACATAGCATTGCTCTGTCACTTTGAGGACAGACTCTTCTATGCTAGCCAAAAGCAAGGCTCATATTGAAAATCCCAGAGTAAATTCCTCCCTCTGTAGTTATGTAAAGCTTTTTTTTTTTTCTTCTGAAATGCTCTTTCAGCTCAGGATTAGCATGGAAACAGTACAATAACAATGTTTCCAAAAGTGTGAAGCTCTCCCCATGAGACACTGTAAGAGATTTTGTCAAATTAGTTCCTCAGCTTCACTAAGTCTCCAGGAAAAAAGCACAGATCAGTAGCTGGGCCTGTGCCCTCCTACCCTGGTGGAGGTTGGAAGAGCATTTCTGCTGATAACAGCCTCAATCAAACAGTGCTTACTCCTAAGAAAAGTCTTTCTAAAATTCAAGACAGGTCTTCAATTACACAATCACATTTTAGCTTTAAGATCCTCAGAACAGACTGGATGGTTGTGTCCTTAATGAAGAAGGAGAGTGAAATAGTTTTAAGCACCTTTCTAAAATAGGAGTAAAAAACTATTTCTCTAGTGAGTTTTTCAAAGTGAGGTTAACTTTCTTTGTGGACAACGGAACACAAAAACACTTGAAATATCTGATGAGTGTTATATAATGCTTTTTTAAAACCTACCCTGTTTGCTCCAGCTTCAATCAGGTTATGAACTAAAGTCAGTGGAATCTTTCCACTGACATCAGTGGGCTCTGAATTAGGACTTCACTGCTTGCAACCGAGCATGTGCACTAAATGAATTGAGAAAGGGTTTGTTAACTGTCTCTTTGACCTAAAGATCTCCTGAGCTGGGCACTGAGAGCCAGAGGTTTTTTTTTTTTCCTTTTTGGAGGACATTTTGGAGGGCAACAAAGGAGAAGCACGGCTCCACTAGGACCCATATTTTGCAAGTGGAATTTCTAAAAGACAGAAACGGCTGGCATGCAAATGTGTTACTTTTAGAGAAAAATTGTTGTCTGAAATAGAAAAGGACTAAAAGGAAGTTATTCTAATAACAGCCTTGATTAGGAATGCATAAGCCATAATAAGTGTGGACACTGTTTGAAGAAACTGGGCAAGGGGACAGAAGCAGTTTCAGAGAATATCTGACATTCACAAAGCTTTCTGGAGCACACTGCAGTTGAGAAATTATATCTTACCCTTAATACTTGCACTTTTAACAGACACACACTGCAAGTTGGTATAAATGAGGTAATATTGGACAGGAACACTGCTGCCATCCTACCAATCCTATCCCTGCCTCTGGGATCATACGAGGAATACAGATCTGCTGCACAGGGGAACATTATGTGGACTGTTGTGCAGCCCCATAATTTCACCTCTACTTAAGAAGGCTGGAACGGAACTGAAGTGCTGTGCAATAGCCAGTGCCATTACAGGGAAGAGAGTAAGAGCTGCAGTCCATCAGCTTCTGGTAAGCTTGTCCCCAATTTCATAAAGCAAATGATGGCACGCTTTTATATGATCAGACTAAATTACACTACCCTCTGCACATGTCAGAGAGAGACCTCATCAAAGGCACGTCTGTATAAGGCAAAAGATATCTATCCATCACTAATCTGACCTTCACGATCCAGCACGTTCCTTCTCCTGTAGATAAACATTCATGCTCCTACCACAGCCCAAATCTGTATCCTTAATTGCATGGATGAGGAATAAATCTCAATGAATGCTGCACTGAATTCCTAGAAATGGCCATCACCACTGTCTGACTGTTCATGACTCATACCACCAGTTGATGTTTCCAACCCAGAGGTGAGCCAGTGAAGAATAATAAAAGAGAAGCCTGGAAACACTTAGTACTCAACACCAAATACAACATATGGAGAAACCTAACTGGACTACACGGAGCAACTAATCCAGACTTACAGGTAGTGGATTTTCACTGTCCCATATCCATGTAGTCCCAACTTTTGTAAGCAGGCCTGAACCAGTGGCGGATGGTGACCAGAACTTACCAGTCCAACAAACTCCCTAATAACATTGCATATATACAGGAGGACAGAAACCAGCTAACATGGGACAAAAGGATGTAGGAACAATGGGTGAAGGGAAAAGGTAGAGCGCTATACATCTAGTGAACGGATGCTGCAACACATGCATGGGGACATGACAGAAGATAAAGTGAGGTCATATTCTCAGATCATCGCAATATGAAGGAGTCCTAAAGCTATACACTATCCTCATCAGAATCCACATGAAACCAAGCCTGAAGGAACAATTCAGTTGAGACAGAGACTCTTTCAGATAAAATGCAGCTTACTCAACTAATCAGAGCTTTTCCCCAAACACAGTAAGCAAGGTTTAATCAGGAACACAGTGTCATGTGTGAAGGACATTTTGTTAAAAATATACTGCATATACTAAAGAACTCCGTTTTTTTTTCATATGATGTGACACATAACAGGCACTAAATCAAAACAACACAGAAGTGTGTGGTTTATGTGATCTTGCTGGACTACCAAACAAGGCTGAATGTGGAGAAATTACTGCAGATATATATTAGGAGATGTCTAAAACTTTCTTTACAGTACCATCACAATGACTGTTTTTGTTCTATGTTGCCACAGTAGTTAAAAAGCCTTAATAGAGAACTAATAATTTAAGTCATTATATAATGTCTTAAACTTATTTGGAAAACATATACAAGCTTTTCTGCTATTCCTTCTTCCCTGTCTTCTAATCAGGATCTCCATACCGAGCTGAATTTTGCTCTTTCTTACCAGTATAAATTAGAAACAACTCTATTCAAGTCAATAAAGTTACTCCAACGTGAAAAAGGAATCAGCCATCTGCAAAAAGCAGAGTCTAACAGGTAATTTTCCACTGACAGCTCTTACCATAAAAAAGGTTACAGAAATTACTCTTTTATCAAACATCGAAAGTAAACAATTAATGCAAAATGTATAATGTCTATAAAGACAGCACGTTCTCTGCTAGTGTCCTTTGTATATAATTATTTTCATCTTTGTAAGCAGGCACTTAAATAAGACTACCATCAAGCTTGTAGATGGAGCCTACTCATCATGCAAAACAGGCAATTGAACATATCTATTTATTTATACATTATTTTATCTTTTGTTCCCAACTTGGATGTGGAATCTGAGACACATGTTCATGCATCATTTCTTGTGGGAGAATGCCAAGTTACCTTTTATGCCCTCAAGCAAAATTCTCCTTCCTAATCTCAATAGCTGCCCACATCAAAATTATTTTTCATACCTTGCGTAAGCAGCTGGAGGTTTCGAACTTCTTCTCTCACCTTCAGCTGAAGGACTTGCTGCAGAATGTGCTGTCTCAGACTTTCCTGGGCAATGCCCATTCGTTCAAGCTTTTTGTCAGTGAGTCTCAGCAAAGCACGGCCTGGATGCAAAAAGAGTCAAAAAGAAAAATCACCCAAGGATTTCCATAAATGCAATATTCTCCCTCTGACAGGGTGATTTGCCACAGCAAAAATTCTCAGCCCTGAAATACTTCAATCTGAGAGGATAATGTTTAACCAGTTAGATACCTTCTTACCATCAGAGATCCCTGTTCTACTTTCACTTTTTCTTTTTAAGTTATATTTTGTTTTGATGCTTTGTGAGCCATTAAGGCATGTGAAATAGGCATCTTAAGCCATTTCAGATGACAATGGTATTTAAGACATTCCCACAGGCTGGTAGATAAATACGACACATGCCCTTCTTGAGTGTCAGCAGGTCTCCCACACGTAGAATACACCCATAAGCCTGCTGTTGGTCCAGGTAAGTCAAATGGCTCTTCACGCCTATTTTCACCATCTAAATTACTCTCCAGAAACCACTAGTGAAGTGAATGTGACCAATTTAATCAATTTTAGATATTTTGAGGATGACATTTCTCAGGAGGGCTCTGTGAAACAGCCTTCCAAATCCTTCTGAAGAGTAATCTGTAACAGAAGAACAGAAAAAAGGGCCAGACTTCCCTTCTCTGGCCCCAGGCAGGATCAGTTTTATCCAAACCATTCCGGAAAAAGATGTTTGCCCAACTTGTTCTTAAAGAGCCTAAAATCTTTGCAGGTAGTCACTCCCAGTTCATCATTTATCTTTTCCATTAGGAAAACGTTGAACTTTGGTCCCATGGACAGTGTAGAAGACACATCAAAAAAATCAAACAATCCAAACTCCCCAGATGCTGCTAGTGGAACTCTTGACTCCCATCTTTTGGGCACCACCATGCTATAAGCAAACAGGAGGAAGGGACTACATTGGCTGAACCAACACTAAAGAAGTATTTGGACCAAGCAGAGTATTAAAGCGTGAAGCAGAGCTTTAGCTTAGGAAGAAAAACAAAACTTACTCATTTTGGTCTTCAGAGGTGTTGTAAGCCAGTATAGGGAGGCATATCCTAGGGCCCTCCACCGAACCTTGCAGAATATCTATACACACACACACTCACATGATATATATGTACATATATATATATACATATACATATATATATGTACATATATATATATACATATACATATATATATGTACATATATATATATACATATACATATATATATGTACATATATATATATACATATACATATATATATGTACATATATATATATACATATACATATATATATGTACATATATATATATACATATACATATATATATGTACATATATATATATACATATACATATATATATGTACATATATATATATACATATACATATATATATGTACATATATATATATACATATACATATATATATGTACATATATATATATACATATACATATATATATGTACATATATATATATACATATACATATATATATGTACATATATATATATACATATACATATATATATGTACATATATATATATACATATACATATATATATGTACATATATATATATACATATACATATATATATGTACATATATATATATACATATACATATATATATGTACATATATATATATACATATACATATATATATGTACATATATATATATACATATACATATATATATGTACATATATATATATACATATACATATATATATGTACATATATATATATACATATACATATATATATGTACATATATATATATACATATACATATATATATGTACATATATATATATACATATACATATATATATGTACATATATATATATACATATACATATATATATGTACATATATATATATACATATACATATATATATGTACATATATATATATACATATACATATATATATGTACATATATATATATACATATACATATATATATGTACATATATATATGTATATGTATATATATATATGTACATATATATCATGGCCCATACTGGCAAAGCATGTTGGAGCTACACGGATACTACCTGGGAAAATGGCACCTTGTCTGGTTTGTTTTAAAAATAGACTCAACTTTTTACCTTCCCTAGTTTTCACTCCAAGTGCTTTTAATTGCACTTCAACCACTTCAATTGCACTGTAATTGCACTTCAACCACCCTGACATCTGTTGGGAAGACAGCACAGCTAGGCACAAACAGTCGAAGAGATTCCTGCAGAACATTGATGATAATTTCTTGACCCAGGTGGTGGAGATGCCAACAAGGAGATGTGCGCTGCTAGACCTTGTACTAGCAAAGAAGGTCTAGTTGGAGAGGTGAAGGTTGGGGGCAGCCTTGGCTGCAGTGACCATGAGATGGTGGAGTTCAGGATCCTACGAGGAGGGAGCAGGGCAATGAGTAGGATTGCAACCCTGGACTTCAGGAGAGCTGACTTTGGCCTCTCCAGGGACCTACTTAGGGGAATCTCCTGGGGTAGGGCCCTAGAAGGAAGAGGGGTCCAAGAAAGCTGGTTATTTCAGCAAGGCTTTGGACACTGTCTCCCATCACATCCTCCTAGGTAAGCTCAGGAAGTGTGGGCTGAATGAGTGGACGGTGAGGTGGCTTGAGAACTGGCTGGATGGCCAAGCTCAGAGGGTTGTGGTGAATGGTGCGTGTGCAGGGATGCGACAAGGAAGGCTGAGGCCCAGTTGGAATTAAATCTGGCAAGGGATGTCAAGGACAACAAGAAGGCCTTCTTCAAATACATCACTAGCAAAAGGAAGACTAGGGAAAACGTGGGCCTGCTG